GGAGTCACTTACTTGTTTATGCCCCAAAATTTGGAAGACAACTACCTGGCCAAGTGACTGGAAGAGATTTGTATTTGCATCCATTCAAAGAAAGGTGATTCAACAGAATGTGGAAATTATTGAACAGTGTTATTAATATCACATACAAGTAAAATTTTGCTGAAGATAATTCAAAAACGGTTGCAGTAGTATATTGACAGGAAATGTCCAGAAATGCAAGCTAGATTCGGAAGAGGATGTAGAACTGGGATATCATGGCTGATACGATATGGATCTTAGTTGAAAGCAAAAAATACCAGAAAAATGTCTACCTGTGTTTTATTGACTATGCAAAGGCATTCAACTGTGTGGATCATAACAAATTATGGATAACACTGCAAAGAATGGGAATTTCATACACTTAATCGTACTCATAAGTAACCTGTACATAGACCAAGAGGTAGTTGTTCAGAGACAACAAGGGAATATTGCATGGTTTAAAATGAGGAAGGGTATGTGTCAGGGTTGTATCCTTTCACCATACTTATTCAATCTCTATACCGAGCAAAAAATCCAAGGAGGTGGACTGTATGAAGAAGAATGTAGCAACTGGATTGGAGGAAGAATCATGAACAACCTGTAATATCCAAGTGACACAACCTTCCTTGCTAAAAGTGAAGATGACTTGAAGCACTTAATGATTAAGATCATGGACTATAGTGTTCAGTATGGATTATACCTCAACATAAAACAGAAGTCCTCACAACTGGACCAATAAGCAATCACGATTATTGAAGAAAAGATTGAAGTTGTCAGAAATTACATTTTACTTGGATACGCAATCAACACCCATGGAAGCAACAGTCGAGAAATCAAATGTCGTATTGTACTGGGTAAATCTGCTGCAAAAGACCTCTTTAAAGAGTTAAAGAGGAAAGATCTCACTTTGAGGACTAAGGTGTGCCTAACCCAAGCTGTGGTATATTCACTAGCTTGATATGCATGTGAAAGCTGGACAATGAATAAGGAAGACCAAAGAAGAGTTGATGCCTTTGAATTGTGTTAATGAAGAATACTGAAAATACCATGGAGTGCCAGAACAAACAAATCTGTCCTAGAAGTAGTGTAGCTAGAATGCTCCTTAGAGGTGAGAATGGCCAGACTTCGCCTCACCTACTTTGGTCATATCAGAGGGGACCATTTCCTGAAGGATATCATGGTTGGTGAAGTAGAGGGTCAGAGAAAAAGAGGAAGACCCTCAATGAGATGGATTGACACAGTGGCTGCAATGGTGGGCTCAAGAACAGCAGGACTGTGAGGATGGCACAGTAACACCAAATTTGGGATATTGGTAGATAATGCAAGTAGAGATGTCAGTAGGCAGTTAGATTTAAGAGTTTAGAATCCAGGAGAGAGCTTTGACCTGGAGGTAGTAAATTTGGAGTCATCAGCATAGTGTAGGTAGTATTTAAAATCATGGGACAGGAATAAAGTCACCTGGGATGAGAGTGTAGAGAGAGGACATCTAAAGACTGACCCAATATTTAGTTGGGAGATGAGGAGGAACCAGGAAAAGAAGGCCATGAAACAGTGATCAGAGTGATAGAATAAGAACCAAGACTCCTTGTAGTCCTAGAAGCCAAGTAAGCAGTATTTCATGGAGGGAATAATCAGTTGAGTCAGTTGTAGCTGAGTAACAAAAAGATGAAGAGTAAGAATTATTGGCTTTGGAAATAAGGATTTGACCTTAACAAGAATTGTTTTGATTAACCTGGTAGAGATGAAAGCCTGATTAGAAGGACTTTAGAGAAATGAAGACAGCAACTGTGGTAGTTAATGTTATGTGTCAGCTTGACTGGGCTGTGGTTTTAAGTGGCTTGGCAGCTGGATATACTTATTCTCCATGATGAGATTGTAAGCACCTCCATGGTGGAATATGCTGTGAACAGCCAAGTAGTTGAAAGGGACTTTCCTTTGGAGTGTGGCCTGCTACCAGTATATATGAAGAACCTTTAGGAAAGGTGTCTAACTTTGGGGCACATTTGAATTCTGCATTTGGTTGAGTATTCATCTCCAGTTCCTGGATTTGAACCAGTGGCCTACCGTGGTATCTCCCAGTCTTGGGGTTGTTTCTGGACTTGAACCAGTGGCCTGCTCCATTGCCTGCTGGTTTTGGGATTGTGCCATTTTACTTGCCATCCTTTGGTTCAGCAGCCTCAGCAGCCAGCAGCTATGTGAGTGAGTTAGGAGACACCTCTTGCTCCAGTGGGCCTGGAACAAGAGGCAGAGCTGAAGCCCAAGGTCAAGGGGCCTTCACCCAGCCCTTAGAGATGGCATTCTGAATTCGGACTTCTAGCCTCCTAAACTGTAAGAGAATAACTTCCTATTTGTGAAAGCCATCTACTTGTGGTTTTCGTTACAGCAGCACTGGACAAGTGAGACAGCAAGTGTGGTTAGTTCTTGCTGTAATGAAAAAACAAAAAGAGTAATAATTGAAAGGGGATGTTGGGGCAGAATGGGAGTTGTTGGGGGTTTTTGGCTTTTTTTTTTTTTTTTTTTTTTAAGACTTAAGCAGCATGCGTGGATGTCATGCAGATAGGAATGATCCAGAAGAGGGGGAATGGGTGATGTAAGAAAAAATGATAAAATTGTTAGAGCCGTGTTTTAGAGTAGGTAAAAGGAGACAGGATCCAGTGCATAAGTGAAAAGGTTTGTATGAATAATTCATCTGCACAAAGGTTACAAACAAAGATTTGGCAGGTCGGTAGATACAGTGGTGAAAGAGTAATGATTTTCTCTCTCTTTTTTTTTTTTTTTGTAATTCTTTGAGCTAAAATTTATTTATAGAACAAGAACAATGATATCTGGCTTCTCTGACTTGTTTTGAAGATCCAATAAAATAATGCTTATCAATTGTTTTGTGAATTGCAAAGGGTATGTAAATGCAAGCTAGGGCAATGAACTCCCTACCATGTTCATTTTCCAGGTTTTCTCCCAAAGAAAGAAATAGATTACCACTTAGCTTAAGGGTAAAAACCTTTCTCTATAGTGCAAGATGCTGTGGCGGTAGGGATGGAGAAAGAAGCCTGTAACAGGAAATGGGTCCCTGGATGTAAGACTGAGAGGCTGCCGTGTATTTTCACATGTAGCACTCTCACATAAATAACACTTCTGCACGTATAATGCACATAGCACTCACACGAAGCTGACGTGCAAGGGGAGTGGTGTGGTTTGCAAAACAGTGTGTAATGCTTGTGCCATCTGCTAAATATAATAGTTGAGGATACATACTTTAAAATTAGTTGGCACTGATTACATGTAACTAATGCTTTTATGAATGGTCCAAACTAATAAAAAACTCAACTGTTATCTTCAGTTCTGACTTTGAAATATATTATGGGTTTTTTTTTTTGGGAGGCGGGAGAGGGAAGGACTAGAAATTTGTGTTTCTAAATCTGTTTAAGTTAATTTGGTATTAGGACTAACCTATGAATCCTGTATAAACATTCTCTGAGAGGAGTCAAACCAGGAGCAGGAATGAAAGACCCCAACCATAGGTAACGCTCAGTGAGTGCCTGCTATGCCAGTCGTTCGTGAAGTGCTTTTCATGATTGTCTCATTTAATAAATAGATGAGTGACCATGGTGTGCATGGGGACAGAGGTAAAAATGTCAAATGTGGTTAATTCAGTGTTCAAAGTATAATAGGTATGTTACTGAGTAGATGATGACACAATTTGTAGTTTACAGATCAACTCTACTCATTTTATTCATTTATCCATTTTATATTTATTAAGTGCTAGATCCTACTAGGTGAGAATATAAAGTTGAATATGGTAGTATCCCAGTTCTCAAAGTTATAGTTTAGTATATTAACCTGGAGTATAACCTGTATTACCTTGGAGTTCTGTGTTGGTAGGGTGTTATCCTCAAACGTGCATTATTTTATCAGTGTGTCTTTGAGTTAGGACATTAAAGTCTGGCTGATGAGTTTCCTAGCATCTGTAGCCCAGTGGCATGTATACAGTAAACAAATAAATAATTGTTGAGTGAATGATTGAAAGTGACACAAAACTAATAAAGCATCTTCAAAATAATATCATTAACCACAATAGTGGACCAAAATTAAGGGATGGAATTTAATAAGGACAGATATGAATACTAACTTAGAAGTTCAAGGGAGCTTAGTTTAAGAGAGACAAAAGAAAAAGACTGACAATTAGAGTCTGTGTCATGTTGTGGCTGCCCCTAAAAGTAAGAGAGGTGTTAGTCCCATCTGCCTTATCAGACAATCTCTGAGCCCTGAATTTTGTTGCAATGTTATTTTTTGAACAGACATTGGCAAAGTAGAGTGTCCCTGGTGGGCAGTGACCAGCATGGTCCTAATGCTGTACAGGCAATGCCTGGGTTACAAACAAGATTGGCTCCTAACTGTCGTTAAGTGGAATTTGTAGGGGAGTTGTAACAGATGTGTATGATTCTTATTTAGTTTTAATTTAGTGTAAGAAAAGGCGCTAGCATTTTCAGTGATTTAAGAGTTGTACACAAAGCAAGTGAAGGTGATTATGGTGCAGAATTTGTTGCAGTAGGGGCTGGTTCAGTCGTTTCAAAGTGAAGGCAAATTTACATAATATTAAAGGGGAAGTAGGAGTTGTTTATAAGTCGGACATTTGTAACCCAGGGACTGTGTCCTTGAATCATTTAATATAATCTACACCTACCCCGCCCCCCGTTAATGGCTCCAAAGATAGGAAGGCTGATTTCAGTTCAGTTCACAGTAGACATTTCATTTTCAACAGTTGAAAACATAGAATGGGGTGTCTTCTGCTATTAGCTAAGTGAGTGACTTCTCAAATAGGGTATTTAAGAAGGGCTGAATAAAAGAACAATGTTGCCTAACAGGCTTGATTCCAGTGCCTCTGATGTCTCTGCAGTGTGTGGACTTCTATCTCATAAACAGAACTAGGACACATCAGATTAAGATACATTCTGTTTATCTTATATCACTCTCTTCTGCCGCAGCAATGAGTACTACCCAGCAGATCTGCAAGTTGCTCCAACCCAAGATCTGCAAAGAAAAGGCAAAAAGGTGGTGACAGAGGACACAGAAGAGGAACCAGCAAGCAGAGATGATGAAGAGTTGGAAGAAGAAGAAGTGCCCCAAGATGAACCCACACACAAAAAAAAGACAAGAAGAGCTGCAGCTAAGTAAGTTCAACATTGTTCAAAAACTGTGGCTCTGTAGTCTTAGGACAGAAGAGATGCCTGATGTCTAACTGTGAATGAAGTATTCTTGTACCCAGTGGACAACTTAGATAATTACTTGCAGTAAGTGTTACATCTCTGTCTCCTGGGATTTTCCTTTACTGCCAAAGAAAACTCAAATCTTCTGAGTTTTTTGGTTGGTTGCTTTTTTGTTTTTTTCCTTGATTGGCCACAGAATGTTGGAGAGACTTAGGGGCCTGGAGCGCTTAGACAGTCTTTGTGACCTTTGTCGTTGACTTCCACAGTACTGGAGCATTACGTTTGTGTTCTAGGGAACATATGTGTAATGCACCATCTTTTCTCATAAATGACCACTTTAGCACTTCTCTTCTGCCTTTTGTCTCCTGGTTACTTTTTGCCATGTTGTTGTTACACTCTCTTATTCTCTAGGTTATTCATTTGCCTGCATTCATATAAACCTTAAGAAAAGGGAGTGGTCATGTTCCCAAAAGTTACATTGATTTATCTAAAGGTGGTCTGAATTAGAGTCTCAAAGATTCACTGATTGATGATACTGTATCATTTTAACACTTTAGCTCACAATTTTGATATGCCTGTTTCTTAAGAATTTCCCATGAGCCATTTATTAATTCATTCATTCAGCAACCTTACTGAGTACTGCTGTGCTCGGTGGGGGCTACAAAGATGAAATGTACACAATGTCTGCATTGTTATTGTTGTTAGGTGCCGTCGAGTCATCTCTGACTCATAGCAACCCTATGCACAGCAGAACGAAACACCGCCTGGTCACATGCTGGCTCCACGATATTTGCTATACTTGAGCCCTTTGCTGCAGCTACTACGTTAGTCCATCTTGTTGAGGGCCTTCCCCTCTTTCGTCCACCCTCCACCTTTTAAGCGCGACATTCTTCTCCAGGGATTGGTCCATTCTGACAGCGTGACCAAAGTGAGTGAGACAAAGTCTGGCCATTCTCGCTTCCAAGGAGCATTCTGGCTGCACTTCCTCCAGGACAGATTTGTTAGTTCTTAGCATTCTTGGCCAGCACCACAATTCAAAAGTATCAATTCTTCTTCGGTCTTCCTTATTCATTGTCCAGCTCTCACACGCACATGAGGCGATTGAAAATATCATGGCTTGTGTCAGGCACACCTTAGTCCTCAAGGAGACATCTTTGCTCTTCACCACTTGAAAGAGGTCTTTTGCAGCCTACTTGCCCAGTGCTATACATCATCTGATGTCCTGACTGCTGCTTCCATTGACGTCGATTGTACAACCAAGCAATGTGAAGTCTTTGACAACTCAATTTTTTTTCCATTTATTGTGATGCTGCTTATAGGTCCAGTTGTAAGGATTTTTGTTTTCTTTATATTGAAATGTAATCCATACTGTAAACTTCAGTCTTCATCTGTAAGTGCTTCAAGTTATCCTCACTTTCAGCAAGCAAAGTGTGTCAGCAGTGTATCTCAGGTTGTTAATGATTCTTCCTCCAATCTTGATGCCACATTCTTCTTTATGTAGTCCAGCTTCTTGGATTATTTTCTCAGCATATAGATTGAATAAGTGTGGGGAAAGGATACAACCCTGACGCACTCCCTTCTTGATTTGCGTCTGCATAGTCATAGTCAATGTGTGTTGTGCTACAAGAGAATTATTTTTAAAGGAGTTGTGGATTCACATAGGTTGACTTAGTGGCTGAAACAATGGGCTGCAAAGATGGCACAGGACCAGGCAGTGTTTTGTTCTGTTATTACCCAAGGTCTGCATGAGTTGGAGTTGATTCAGCAGCAACTAACAACAACAAAAGAAGCATAAGGAAAAAAAATTGCTTCAATCTGCCAAAAAGATTCAGGAATGATTTGGAAAGAAGAGGGCATCCTTGAAGCTGAAGGATGAGAGTTCAGACGGGGAAAGGACTTGCCAGTTAATGGAAATGGAAGCACAAGGACAAGAAAGATTAGGGCCAAGCCCCATGAAACTATGGTTCCTTCTCCACTTCTGTCTTCTCACAACTCCTAACATTCTGTCTCCTGCTACTTCGTCTAAGACAAAGAATGCTATTTTCTTCCTTATATCTTCAGTATAATACCTGGCAAAAGATTAGCCCTCAGTACATGTTTGTTGCATAAATGAATAAGCCACTTACCCACTCATACCTCTTACTTTCCCACCTCTGCACCTTTGCTTGTGCCCCTCCCTTGTTCTGTAATGCCCTTGCTCATCTCTGCCAATTGAAAATCTGTTCATACTTTGAGACAGAGTTTCAGTGCTACTTCTTCACTGAAGCATTTCCCTCTTTTAAACTAAAAGTATCTTCTTCTTGTTAGGTGCTGTTGACTTGGGTCTGACTCATAGCAACCCTAGGTGCAACAGAATGAAACACTGACAGTCCTATGCCAGCCGCACAGTATTTGCTGTACTTGAGCCCATCATTGCCACCACCTGTGTCAATCCATCTCGTTGATTCTAGCTTAGTTTCTGTAGCTTAACTAGTAGGACATTTACAGTTTTGCTTTCTTTTGCTCAGGAGCAGAGTTTGATATTTTAGCCAAACTCTTAGGAACAGGGGTACAGAAGATTTCAAAGAGCAGCTCGAAAAGACAGAGTCAATTATTATAAGGAACTATGCAAAGACATGGAGTTGGAAAGCCAAAAGGGAAGAACACACTTGGCATTTCTCAAGTTGAAAGAACTGAAGAGGACATTTAAGCCTCGAGTTGCAATATTGAAAGATTCTATGGGCAGTATATTGACTGGTGTAGGAAACATCAAACGAAGCTGGAAAGAATACCCAGAGTCACTATATCAAAAAAAATTGGTTGGGTTCATCCATTTCAGGAGGTGGCATTTGATCAAGAACCAATGGTATTGATGGAAGAAATCGAAGCTGCACTGAGGGAAGTGGCAAAAAAGAAGGCTCTAGGAATTGACAGAATACCCATTGAGTTATTTCAACAAACGGATGCCGATCTGGAGGCACTTCACTTGGGTATGCCAAGAGTTATGGAAGACAGCTACCTGGCCAACTGAATGGAAAAGATCCATATTTGTACCCATTCCAAAGAAAGGTGATCCCACAGAATGTGGAAATTACCGAGCAATAGCATTAGTACTGCATGGAAGTAAAATCTTACTGAAGATAATTCAAAAATGGTTATAGCAGTATATTAACAGAACTTCCAGAAATGCAAGCTGGATTCAGAAGAGGACATGGAACGAGGGATATCATTGCTAATATCAGGTGGATCTTGGCTGAAAGCAAAGAATACCAGAAAGATGTTTACTTGTGTTTTATTGACTATGCAAAGGTATTCAATTGTGTGGCTCATAGCAAATTATGGATAACATTGAGAAGAATGGGAATTCCCGAGCACTTGATTGTACTCATGAGGAATCTGTACCTTGACCAGGAGGCTGTCATTCGAACAGAGTAAGGGGACACTACATGGTTTAAAATCAAGATGGGATTGCATTAGAGTTGTATCTTTTCACCGTATTTATTCAATCTTTATGCTAAACAAATAATCCGAGAAGCTGAACTATATGAAGAGGAACGTGGCATTAGGATTGGAGGAAGAATCATTAACAACCTGTGTTATGCAGATGGCACAACTTTGTTCGCTGAAAGTGAGGATGACTTGAAGTACTTACTAATGAAGATTGAAGACTACAGTCTGCAGTATGGATTACATCTCAATATAAAGAAAACAAAAATCCTCACAATGGGACTGAAAAGTGGCATCATGATCAATGGAGAAAAGATTGAAGTTGTCAAAGACTTCATATTACTTAATTCTACAATCAACACCAATGGAAGCAGCAGTCAAGGTATCACATGTTATATGGCATTGGTCAAATCTGCTGCAAAGGACCTCTTTAAGGTACTGAAGAGCAAAGATGTTTTCTTGAAGACTAAGGTTTGCTTGACACAAGCCATGGTATTTTCAATCACCTCATATGCATGTGAGAACTGAGCAATGAAAAAGGAAGACCGAAGAAGAGTTGATGCTTTTGAGTTATGGTGTTGGCCAAGAATGCTGAAAGTACCATGGACTGAAAAAAGAATTAACAAATCTGCCCTGGGAGAAATGCAGCTAGAATGCTCCTTAGAAGCAAGAATGGCCAGACTTCATCTCACCTACTTGGTCATGTTGTAAGAAGGGACCATTGCCTGGAGAAGGCTATCGTGCTTTGCAAAGTGGAGGGACAATGAAATAGGGGATGGCCCTCAATGAAATAGATTGACACAGTGGCTGTAACAATGGGTTCAGGTATAGCAAAGATCGTGGGGCTGGCACAGGACCAGGCAATGTTTCGTTCTACTGTACACGAGGTCTCTCTGAGTCGGAGACGACTTGATGACACCTAACAACAACAACAACCTGTCAACATTTGGCATTTCTGGGGAGTAATTTCCTATTTGCAAATAATTAAAACTTGTTTGACCGCCTAACCATGGAACTCTAGTCAAGGTGTTAGGAGTGCTTGCCAAAAAGAATAAATTTGGTGGGTAATGTTATCTTAAGAAAATAATCTCCATTCTTTAACTCTCTGACACCCTTTGCTTGTCTTTGTTTAGACAGTTACTTGCTCATTTACAAGTTTTCTCTAAGTTTTCAAATCCACGGGCCTTATATCTGGAATCCAAATTATATGAGCTGTATCTTCAGGTAAGTAAAAAAAAATTCTTGGTGCTGTAATTCTTTGTGAACTCTCCTCTGTCATTTTCATTGCCAAAGTAACTTGTAGGTTTTTAATAATTATTGCTTAAATGAGTCAGGAGGGCCCATGTCTACATTTTAGGTGCTCAGAATTTTCTTTTATTAATAGACATAGTTCCTGTTACCTCACAAAAGAATTTTAGGCAGCACTAATTTAGTTAATTTTGAAAAATGTTTTGGTGAGTAAACATTGATTGACTGTATTAAGAGTATGCCATTGAGTTGATTCCAACTCATAGCAACTCTATAGGTAACAGTTAAGTACAGGTAGTCTCCCACTATGATGGGGTTCCATTCTGACAACTCTTTTGTAAGTCAGTTCTGATGTAAGTCGAATATTATTTCTTTTTTTTTTTTTTTCCAGTTTCCATTATTCTTGCCTTTTATTATCATAGTATCTTTATAAATCTGATCTTTGTCTTTGGGGTTGGAAATATTACATATAAAGTTACAGATGTATCATGATATATACATACATTTAAAAAAAACACACAAAAAGCAGTGCAGGTGTTACAGTTAGAGAAACTTGAGCAGCTCAGCTTCAGGTTAACAACTGATGCTTCTGAGGGTATGAAACACTGCATAAAATCATGCTATAGGCCTGGTCTGCAATGAAGTTAGCATCAGGGCAGCAACAGTGAAATTGAAGCTGTAACAGCAGACATGTATGCAGTTCAGTTCTATGTCGTTAGAATTGAACGTTGCCCAACTTTCTGTTAGGACTTCTAACACCGACTTCTTTGTAGACCAGTCAGTAGCCTGCTGTACAGCAGTACTTTGAACAGTAAATCATCAAATTGAGCATCTGTGAGTGAACATCTAAGAATGATGCCATCAGCAAATTACACGTTGCGACATTGTATGTAGTACACATTACTAAAAAGAAGATGTGCAAAAAGAAAAATCTGGATGGTATTAAGTGCAGTTTGTTGTAACTCAAATACATTGTTAAGCTGGGGACTACCTGTATAGCAAAGTATTAATGACATCACCCTTGTTCTGGTTCCCTAGTGCCACTCTGGCAAAAATATACCACCAATGGGATGGCTTAAACAAACAGGAGTTTACTCATACAATTTGGAGGCTTTAAGTCCAGGTTCAAAGTGCCAAGCTCTAGGCACTGGGTGAAAGCCCCTCAGCCTTGGGCTTCAGCTCTGCGTCCAGCTCCCAGCCCACTGAAGCTAGAGGCTTTTCTTCACTCAGATAACTGCTGGCTGCTGAGGCTGCCAAACCCAAGGCTGACAATTAAAAAGGCACAGTCCTGATGTTACCAATCCACACGCCAGGTCATTAAGTCAAGTCCATTGTAAGTCCCAAAGTCAGCAGAGCATGGCAGGCTGCTGAACAATGACATGGCTACGTGCAGGGTCCAAGCGTGTGCCAGAAGCTAGAGATCATTCCCCAAGGCTGCTGCTTATATACAGGAAGCAGACCACATTCCAAAGGCAGCTACTCAGCTGCTTGTGGTAAATCCCACCATGGAGCTGATTGCCAGTCTCATCATGGGGAATAGCTACCCCCAGGTACCCAGCCACTCAACCAGGCCCAGCCAAGTTGACACACAAACATAACCACCACAACCCTTTTAGAAGCAATTAGGAGTTACGTCAAGAGCAGTTGACTACATTTTCCCTCCTAAAGTCTACCTTCACGGCAAATGTAAGATTCTAGGTTCTGTTAGAATGAATGAAAGCAGATTGTTGGAATAATAGTCTCTTGTAATCACAATGTATAACCCTGAATTCTAGAAAAGACTGCAGAAATAATTTAATGTCAGGAAGAGTGAGAATTGGATTATCATTCAAAACCACTTTGGGGAATGAAATTTCCATCTTCTGTTGTAAAGATTAAGCTTTTGTAGTTCCAGCAGAATTTACCTGTCTGTGTTCTCCTGACAATTCAGATATATACTTTGTGTATAAACACAGGAGTCTTAGTTGTCCACAGGAAGCAAAGTTCTGAACTGCCTCTTCAGAGAGGCCTCAGAGCCAGAACTTCTTTCCTGGCATCTTACTGGCTTCTTGTTACCATCACAGTTTTGTAAGAGATTCTCCTCATCATGTGACCAGTCCAGACTCACGTAGAGATTTGGCGGTGACCAAGAGCCTGAGTAGGCCTGAGGGACTGGCATGTGGGATACAGGCATCAGAGTTTTACTTCTTTTTCTTTTCATATATCCTATTCATCCTCCCTTTCTGCCAGGAAAATGTAAGGAGGTTGTCAGGTAGCAGTTATAAACCTTATCTACAAACGTAAATTTAAAGAAATAATTTAGCAAATGAACAGAAATAAATTGCTATCCCATATTATATGTGTATGTGACTGTATTAATTTTTCAATAAAATATCATTCTTAGTTGTTGCTGCATCAAGATCAAACAGTACAAAAAATAACTCTGGATTGCATAATGACGTATAAACATCCACATATCCTCCCTTATAGGTAAGTTATTTGATGCTAAATAAATCTGCCTCTTTTCTGAGGTAACCCTAATGCTATTTCCAGGCAAGAAATGAAAGCTAGAAGTGTATTTGTTATAAGTGGTTTGCCACAGATGTTATTTGTTGTCTTAGCAACTCTGTATTCAATAGAATGAAATGCTGCCTGGCCCTGCTTCAGCCTCACAATCCTTGCTGTGCTTGAGCCCGTTATTGCAGCCTGTGTCAGTCCATCTCATTGAGGGTCTTCCTCTTTTTCACTAACCCTCTACTTTACCAGGCATGATGCCCTTCCCTAGGGACATATTATCTCCTGAGAACATGTCCCAAGTATGTGAGGCTGAGTCTCCCCTTGCTCGCTTCTAAGGAGCGTTCTGGCTGTACTTCTTCTGAGACAGATTTGTTCATTCTTCTGGCAGTCCGTGGTATATTCAGTATTCTTTGCTAATGCTGCAATTCACATGCATCAGTTCTTCTTCGGTCTTCCTTATTTATTGTCTAGTGTTTGCATGTGTATGAGGCTAAAGAGATCTTTTGCTGCAGATTTGCCCAGTGCAATACATCATTTGATTTCTTGACTGCTGCTTCCACGGTAGTTGATTGTGAATCCAGGTATCTATAAATAATAAAGTAGAAAAGAGACTATTGAAAAAAATGTGTTAAAAAAAGTTTTATTATTTTCCTCAACTTCTAATAAAATGCCATAAAATTTTGGTGGTTACTTAGGAAATCATAATCACTCTCTAAGAACTGAAGAAAGCTATTGTATCATGCTTTCTTAAATAGCTCAGTTATTGACTAAAGCTAATCCCTTGTACCTTTTAAAATTTGAAAACTTGTCATTTTGGATGGTACTTTTATGAGCATTTTTCCTTTATGTATGTCACTACAGTACGGACTACTCTTTAAGACTTTATTTAAACATTATTCTACTCTTGCATTTCTTAAAATTACTGTTGATTATTAAATACTGATTTATGCTGTATTCTATTTTATAGGGAAAACTTGCAAAGACTTCTTGAAGATAGAAGCTTTAAGGAAGAAATAGTGCATTTTAGCATTTCAGAAGATAATACAGTAGTGAAAACAGCCCACCGAGCAGATCTGTTTCCTATTCTGATGAGGTATTCCTATTGTTTAAAAACAGACTTTTTGTGAGTATGGAATTAGGATTCTTTCAGAATATTTCATTTTGTATATTCTTTTTATTTTTTTTTTTTAAGTAGAATCTTTTAGGGAAGTCAAATTTTTATAGAGACTTAATTTAGAATTTTTTGCCCCTAACAGAAAGAGATATCTGTCTGTGGTATTATTTTAATAATCATAATGGTATAATTAAGTTCAACATTTCTCTATTAATTTTCAGTAATAGTAAAAGTAATTTATTCCAGTTCCTAAATATATGATATTTAATATTATATTTCTCATTATAGATGGTGGAACACATAGATGATACATAGATTATCCAAAGGTCATGTTTCCTGGGTATAGGGAAGAGTGCAAAGAGATCTTATTACTAGAAGTTTTAAGAACCACTCTCCTTGAATTTTGAATGTTAAATTAACAATGTTTATGTTAAGAGAGTAGCTTATATATTACTAGGTTATTTAGAATTTTATCAGAAATTGATGTTGAATTTAACAGAAAATGCCTATTAAACTTGTATTAAAATGGTTATAAATACTTTTTTCTATGACCAGTGATCTATATTATGTTAATGTAACCTGGTTAGCAGTCAAATGCCTTAGGCCCTGCTCCATCAAAGACCTTCACTAATGCATCTTTCTTGCATTTCTAGGATAACCCTTATTTGGTTTTAATACTTTTTTAATACAATACAGGATACTGTATGTAGAAATAGTGTGTTTGATGTTTATAAGCAAGATTAGTATGTGGCTTTATTTTTGTTCATTGACCTGTTTCAATATCATGATTATGCCAACTTTATAAGTGAGAAAAGATGGTTTCCTTTTTTCTCTATACTGCAAAACTTTATAGCAAGGAAATTATATTGTCCTTGAAAGTTTAAAAAAAATCATAGTTTATAAAGCTGTGAGTTTCATGTTTTCCCATGATTATTGGTCTACTCAGGTTTTCCTAAGTTCTGTTTCCTAATTTATATTTATGTTCTTTCTAGAAAATTATCCATCAATCGGAATCTTTCGAGTCTCTCCTCTCACTCACTTGCTTTTTTTTCTTTTCTATGCCTATCGTTGTATTTTCTTACTTCTTTTCTTTTTAATCTTTATGCCATGTTTTCGTTTTCCTTGATTTGACTTCCTTTTTTAAAAAAATACATTTTATTGAAATATAATTTATGTACAGTGAAATACACAAAACTAAGGTGACATGGGTCAGTGCTTTTTTTTTTTTTTTTTTTTGCAGGGGAGGCCCCTTGCCTCCCCTCCCGGTAACCAACAAAGAAAGTTTCCTTCCATATATAAACCTTTCCTTGACTTTTTGCAATAATGACCTAATACTATACTTGTCATTTTCTGATTGACTTATTTCACTCAGCATAGTGTCCTACAAGTTTATCCATGTTATGTAGTGTTTTGCAGATTCTACATTATTCGTTAGTGTTGTATAGTATTCCATTGAATGTATATACCATAGTTTGGCTATCCGTTCTTCTGTTGATGGGCACATAGTTTGTTTCCACCTTTTTGCTATTGTAAATAGTGCTGCGATGAACATGGGGGTGCATATATCTGTTCTTGCCCTGGCTCTACTTCTTTAGGATATATACCTAATCATGGGATTGCTGTGTCAAATGAAATGGTATTTCTAATTCCAGCTTTCCAAGGAATCACCATATGGCTTTCCACAGTGGTTGTACTGTTTGACAGTCCCACCAGCAGTGTATAGGAGTCCCAGTCTTGCCACATCCTCGCCAGCATTTATTGTTTTCTATCTTGTCGAACTTTGCCATTAGTGCTTGGGTGAGATGGTATCAAATTGTTGTTTTGGTTTACATCTCTCTAATGGCTAATGATTGTGAGCATTTCTTCATGTATTTGCTGGCTGCCTGAATACCCTCTTTGGTGAAGTGTCTATTCATATGTTGTACCCATTTTTTTAATTGGATTGTTAATCTTTTTATTGTTGAAGTGTTGGAGTTTTCTATAAATTTTAGATATGTCCCTTGTCAGATATGTAATTATTGACAATTATGAATTTGTTCTCATTTTGTTATGTGCTTTGTTGTGGTGTTCTTGATTTCTTTGTTCCATATTATTTTCTGTGCTGAGCTTGTTTTTGTTTATGAATCATGTTATCACTTCCTTCATTGCTGTTGTTTTAGTATTTGCTAAATATTTATGCTGGTCCTTTTATTTTAGTGTGAAAGTTTCTCATTTCTTTCAGGTTACCCTGTGATTTATAATTTTCCTCTGAAGTTTAGAATAGTCCATTCTATCTTGCAGTTGTCTTGACTTCCCTACCATGTAGAAGTTCTGTAACTACACAGCTTTTTCCAAACTCTTTTGGTTTTTAATTGTCCTCATTTGTCAGTTGATGTCTCTGGTTCCCTGATTATAATCCTGTAGGCTTATTTACTTTGGACACTTCCATAACTGGTTTGGTTTCTGGGTTATGTCATCCTGTGTGTTAATGGTTGGTTGTTGTTTGCTGTTGTTGGTTCTCTGTCCAGAGGACTCCCTTTAGCATCTCTTATAAGGTTGGACTGAATTTAACAAATTCCCTTAATTTCTGCTTATCTGGAAATCTCCTAATTTCACCATCATATTTGAGGAACAGTTTTGCTGGGTATGTAATTCTTGGTTGGAAATTTCTCTCTTTCAGCGTTTTATATACATCATCCCATTGTCTTCTTGCCTGCATGGTTTCTGCTGAGAAATCCAAGCTTAGTCTTATTGGTTGCCTCTTGTAGGTAATTTTTTGTTTTTCCTGTGATGCTTTCAGGATTCTTTCTTTGTCTTTGGTTTTGGTGCATTTGGTGATGATATGTCTTGGTGATTTTCTTTTGGGGTCTATCCTGTTTGGAGTTCATTGAACTTCTTAAATGGATATATTCTCATCTTTCATCATACCAGAGAAATTCTGTTCCAACAAATCTTCAACAATTTTTTCTGTGGTTTTATTTGTATCTTCCTGTTCTGGAATTCCGATTACACGTAGGTTATTCCTTTTGATGGTATCCTACATGAGCCTTAGGCTTTCTTCATTTTGTTTTGATCTTTTTTCTGATTACTCCCTTTTCAAAGAAGTATTGAGGTATTTGTCTTCAGTCTCCCCAATTCTGTCTTCCATTGATTTGATTCTGCTCCTTGGTCTGTTCAATGTGTTACCTATAACTGAAAATTTAGTATTAATCTTCTGGATTTCTATCTTTAGATTTTGTATCATGTCTAATTTTTCATTTATTTTGTCATTTTATTCTTGTATTGTCTTTCGAAATTGTTCTGGGGTTTTCTCTGTGTTTTCCTCCATTTTGTCAGTGTTTTCCTTGATCTGTCTCTCAATCCATTGATGGTACCTAAATATAATTCTTTTGAATTCCTTATCAGGGAGTTCCAATGCTGCTGCTTCCTCAAGGATATGTTTTGGGTCTGTATCCTGGTCACTTGTTTCACCTGCATTATCTTACTTCTTTGTGTGGACTGTGATGCTCCATTGTCTCTGAGACATTGTAATGGTTTTGTGTTTATATTTAATTGGTGATTGTATATTGGAGGAACTTGCCCACAATTTTAATTTTTCTTTTTCTTATTTGGATGTTATCTATGTAGTAAGTACGGTACTGTGCTCCTCTATTTGCTAGTTGGCAGCAGTTATACACTCGCCACCTGTCTCCTTTCCTGTGGTCAGCCTCCTGTGTGCCCCTGCCATCCTTGGCAAATGGAGCCCATTCTTAGGTCCCTGGAATCCAGTGAGAATGCTGCCACTTTAAAATCCAAAATGGTCACCGCTTGTAGATATTCCAAATGACTACGCCCTTGGTCACTTTAAATATCCAAAATGGCCACTGCTTGTAAACATTCAAAATGGCTGCACCCCCCCAGGTAGCCAAAAGTCTACAGCTCAGGCTGTCTCCCTACATGCTATTTCCCTTCCTAGTTATAAGCCACAAGTGCAGTTGTCCCTGCAGCCCTTGGTGACCAGGGCTGATCTTTAGGTCAATTCTCAGGTTCCAGCACCCCTTGGAAATATTCAGGCTGTTGGTCCCCTCAGAGTAGCTGACAGTCCATAGCTCCCAACTGTCTACGTACTCACTGTTTTCAGTCAGATTTTTCCACTAGTTGGTGCCTAATCACTTTTGTATACTTCTTTCAAAACTCAGGGCTCCAGGATTATCTTCTGTATCTCTGTCAATTGGTTTCTCTTTTCTTTGTTGAAGAAGGTCTGTGTCACTTGTCTGCCTATTCTGCTGTCTTACCAGAAGTCTGATTTGACTTACCTTTGACTTGTTTGCTTTATTTATTTCTTTTCTTCAAAGAACCACCTTCTAGCTTTATTGATTCCACTGCTGTTTTGTTTTCCAATGTATTGATCTCTGGCCTTTCTTTTTGCTGGGTTTTTTTTTCTTCCTCCTGTTTCCCTTACCCTTATTTTATTGATACTTTTCTAACATCCCAAGTTAGATATTTGATTTCTACTTTTATTCTTCATTTTTATCATAAATCCATTTACATCTCTTCAGTTGCTAATCTTGTAGAAAAAGGAAGGAACTTGTATTGTTTCAGAATTAACGTGAAAACAACTGATGTTACTCTGACCTTTCAGGATTTTGTATGGGCGGATGAAGAACAAAACTGGGACTAAAACTCAGGGAAAATCTGCTTCAGGCACCCGCATGTCCATTGTCCTGCGGTTCCTTGCTGGAACCCAGCCTGAAGAGATCCAGATATTCTTAGACCTGTTGTTTGAACCTGTGAAGCACTTCAAAAATGGTAACTATCACCTCCTACCTACTCTTGAGTGTGTATTGTTTGTGGTCAGCTTCTGATGTCTCAGGCTAACTGCCCTACTGCTCCTGGACATCAGTCCAACAGTTTCTTCTCGCAGCCCTCATGGTGGTCTTTTGACTGAAATGTAGTTCATGTGAATATTAGATGGAATTGGGTGAAGCTCACAAATGATCTGAGGATGTCAGCTTCCATGTGTTAGTAATCCCTTGATTAGAAAATGGGTACATTTTGCCATGTATTTGGACCATTTGACAAAAGAATACCTATCCATGTACAAGCATGGATTTCTTCTAATAAATTTCAAGCATGCTGCAAAATTAATCGTTACTGTTTTAGCATTTATTCATTCACTGAGTCATTCATTTATTGAATAATGACTTGTTGAATGCCCCAGATGCTCTGCTAAGTTGAAAATTGAAAAGTAAGTAAACACTCAGTTCTAAATAACCTCATAGTCTTGGTAATGTGGATGTGATAGTGTGTATGGTAAGCTATAATGCTCTATGTCATGTGAACTGAACTGAAATCTAATTCACTGTTATTGAGTCGATTCTGACTCATAGCAAACCCTTTTGGGTTTCCGAGGAGGTAAATCATTATGGAAGTAAATTGCCCAGTCTTCCTTCCATGTAGTGGCTGGTGGGTTTGAACTGCTAACTTCTGGTTAGCAGTCAAATGCCTTAGACACTATGCCACCAGAGCTCCTTCTATGTTATGTAGTGTTAGTAATTATTAATAATAATGGCTAATATTTATTGCAGGATCTCTGGTACTGTAGCACCTAAGGCACTTGACTGCTAACCAGAAGGCGGACGGTTCAAACCCACCAGCCACTCCTCGGAAGGAAGGTTGGGCAATCTGCTTCCGTAGCGATACTGCCTCGGAAACTCAAGGAGGGGTCATATGAGTCAGGTCCCACTCAACAGCACATAACAACACAACAACAACATTTATTGCCACCATTCATCTGTCAGTTTGTCATACCATGGTGGCTTACATGTTGCTGTGATATTGGAAGTTATGCCACCAGTATTTCAAATGCCAGCAGGGTCACCCGTAGTGTACAGGTTTAAGCAGAACTTACAGACTGTGACAGACTAGAAAGAATGACCTGGCGATCTACTTCTGGCAAAGCTGGCCAGTGAAAACCTTCTGAACAGCAGCAGAGCATCGTCTGATGATAGTGCTGGATGATGACCCCCTCAGGTTGGAAGTCACTCAAAATACAACTGGAAAGAGCCACCTCCTCAGAATACAATTGACCTGAATGACATGGATGGAGTAAAACTTTCAGGACCTTCCTTTGCTGATGTGGCACAACTCAAAATGAGAAGAAACAGCTACAAACATCCATTAATAGTTGGAACATGGAATGTGTAAAGTATGAATCTAGGAAAATTGGGAGTTGTGAGAAATGAAATGGAACACTTGAAGATAGATATTTTAGGCTTTAGTGAACTGAAATAGACTGGTATTGGTCACTTTGATTCAAACATTCATATAGTCTACTGTGCCAGGAATGACACATTGAAGAGGAACAGTATCACATTCGTTGTCAAAAAGGGTATTTCAAGATCCCTCCTGAAGTACAACACTGTCAGTGATAGGATCATATCCATATAGCTACAAGAAAGACCAGTTAATATAACTTATTCAGATTTACCCACCAACCACTAATGCCAACTTCTGCAGTCTGAAATTGATCAAGCATGCAGTCAGCAGGCATTGATAATTCTTGGTGATTAGAATGTAAAACGTGGAAACAAAGAAGGATCTGCAGTTGGAAAATAGGGCCTTGGTGATAGAAATGATGCCAGAGATTGCATAATAGATTTCTATAAAACCAATGACTTACTCATTGGAAATACCTATTTTCAACATGAGTATACATCTAGACCTTGCTGAATGGAATACACAGAAATCAAATCATCTACATCTGTGGAAGGAGATGATGGAGAAGTTCAATAGCATTGGGTAGAACAAGGCCAGAGGCTGACTGATAGACCATCAATCAGTGATCTGCAGGTTGAAGTTGGAGCTGAAGAAAATTAAAACAAGTCCATAAAAGCCAAATTATGGCCTTGAGTATATCCCACCTGAATGTAGAGACCATCTCAAGAGTAGATTTGACACATAGAACACTAATGACCAAAGATCAGACCAGTTCTGTCTGAGATAACTGACGTCAAGGACATTATACATGAAGAAAACAGGTCATTAAAAACACAGGAAAGAAAGAAAGGACCAAAATGGATGTCAGAAGAATCAAGTAGAAACACTACTCAGAGAGATCAATAATGGGAGAACAGAAGGGCAGTGTATGCATAGGGAGACCACTCGGGGGGCAGCAGTGCATGGACACAGGGAAGAGTATCTACAGGGAGGAAGTGGGAAGAGAGCTGTTACACTGTGAGTAATTGTACTCAATGCCATGAGACAAAATGTGTGTGGACTGCTGTATGGAAAATGAAATTGCCCCGTAAACTTTCACCCAAATCACAATAAAAATAAAAAATAATAATAATAAATGGATGTCAGAAGAAACTCTGAAACTTGCTCTTGAACATAGAGTAGCTAAAGGGAATGGAAGAAATGAAGATGTAAAAGAGCTGAACAAATAAATTCAAAAGGTAGCTTGAGAAGACAAAGTAGTATAATGAAATGTACAAAAACTGAAAGGGAAGAAGAGGCTAGGCATTTCTCAAGCTGGACGAATGAAGAAAAAATTCAAGCCTTGAATTGCCGTATTGAAGGATTCTACGGGCAAAGTAATGAGCGACATGGGATGCATCAAAAGATGGAAGGAATGCACAGAGTCACTGGACCAAAAAGAGTTGGTCAGCATTCAACCATTTTGGGGGGTAGCACATGATCACTAACCAATAGGATAAAAAGAAATCCAAGCTGCACTGAAGGCATTGGTGAAAAACAAGGCTTTAGGAATTGATGGAATACCAACTGAGATGTGTCGATAAATGGATGCAATACTGGAAGCACTCATTTGTCTATACCAAGAAATGTGGAAGACAGCTACCTGGCCAGCTAACTGGAAGAGATCCATATCTGTGTCCATTCCAAAGAAAGGTGATCCAACAGAATGTAGTAATCAAACAATATCTTTAACATCACATACAAGTAAAATTTGCTGGAGATAATTCGGAAGTACATAATTGAAGCAGTACATAGACAGGGAACTGTCAGAAATTCAAGCTGGTTTCAGAAGAGGATGTGAAATGAAGAAGATCATTGCTGATGTCAGATGGATCTTGGCTGAAAGCAGAGAAACCAGAAAATCTTTGCTTGTTTTTTATTCACTATGCAAAGGTATTCAGTTGTGGACCATAACAAATTATGGATAACATTGTGAAGAATGGGAATTCCAGAATACTTAAATTTGTGCTCACATGGAGCCTGCACATAGACTGAGAAGCAGTTGTTCAAACAGAACAAGGGGATGCTTCATAGTTAGAGTCAGGAAAGGTGTGCATCAGGGCTGCATCCTTTCAGCATGCTTACTCAGTTTATTCTGAGGAAATAATTTGAGAGGCTGGACTATGAGAAGAACAACGCAGCATCATGATGAGAGGAAGTCTGATTAACAACCTGCAATATGCAGACAACTCAACCTTGCTTACTAAAAGCGAAGAGGACATGAAATGCTTTTTGATAAAGATCAAAGACTACAGCCTTCTGTGTGGTTTACACCTCAATATAAAGAAAATAAAAATTCTCACAACTGGGTCAATAAGCAACATCAAGGTAAATGGAGAAAAAATTCAAGTTGTCAGGTATTTCATTTTACTTGGTTCCACAGTCAGCACCCATGGAAGTAGCAGTCAAGAAATTTAAGGACATATTACATTGGGTATCTGCTGCAAAAAAAAAAAAAAAAAAACCTCTTTAAAGTGTTAAAAACAAAAAATGTCACTTGGAGGACTTTGACCCAAGCCATGATATTTTCAGTCACCTCATATGCATGTGAAAGCTGGACAGTGAATAAGGAAAACCGAAGAAGAACTGATGCCTTTGAATCATGGTGTTGGTGGAGAATATTGGATATACCACAAACTGCCAGAAGAATGAACAAATATGTCTTGGAAGAAGTACAGCCAGAATGCTCCTTAGAAGCAAGACTGGCCAGACTTCGTCTCTTACTTTCAACATGTTATCGAGAGGGACCAGTCCCTGCAGAAGGACATGATGCTTGGTAAAGTAGAGGGTCAGTGGAAAAGAGAAAGTCACTCAGATGAATTGACAGTGGCTGCAACAATGGGCTCAAACATAGCAAGCCTTGTGAGGATGGTGCAGGAGCGGACATTGTTTCATTATAGGGTCACTGTGAGTTGGAATTGCCTTGATGGCACCTGACAACATCTACTGAGTGCTCCCTTTATGCTAGACATTGTAACAGACCCTTTTATACACAACTCAGTTGATCCTCAACTAACCACGAGATTTCCTTATTTAATTACCCCCATTTAACAGAAGAGCAAACTGAGGCTTAGAGGGGTAAGTAACTTACCCAGTTGGCAAGAAAGGATCCCTGGTGGTGCAGTGGGTTTAGCTCAGCTACCAAAAGAAAGATTGGTAGTTCTAACCCACCAGCCACTCCACAGGAGAAGGAACCTGACCATCTGCTCCTGAAGAGACTTTAGTCTAGGGAACTCTATGAGGCAGTTCTACTCTGTCATATAAGTTCACTCAGAGTCAGAATTGGCTTGATGGCACACAACTCAGCAGGAAAACAATTGGATTGGTCTTAAGCCCAGATATTTCTGACTACAAAACATCTGCTCCAGTCTTACCATTGCTTTGCTTTAGCCAAACTTAGGTACTCATTTACAGGGTATTGGGTTGCATTTTGTCTTGTGTGTCTTCTATGACAATAGTTCCAGCTGTTAAATAGATTTTATTTGGTGTAATATCATCCTGTGAAGGAAGGTGGTGCTAATGAATACAGAAGTTTTTGTTGGTTATAATAGCCCCCATTGTAGGAGGGTCGATGTAAATGATAGACTTGTGGATGACCATTTAGGTCTTTGAATCTCAAATCAGTAAGTGCATGATTTGTTCCCAGATGGTTTGAATTAAAGCTCAAGCAGAAATAACTCGTGTTTTAAGTAAATTCTGAAATCATTGTGGCTGTTTACAAGGGATTATTGTTTTCTTTGTTCACCGGGGGAACAACAAGAGAAATAAAACATTTGATTCTCAGCCTTTAAGGAGCTTATAATGTAGCAAGGCTTTTTCTGTGAAACCTCTGACCTCAGCATAGCTTGGTGAAAGCTGAGAGTAAAAATTATGGGTGGAAAGTTGCATGAGGGAATAAAAGATTTAGTGACTCACGTTTTGAGTGATGGTATAAATGGGATGAGAATTGGTTTAGAGACTTCTTCCCTCACAAGTTTCTCACCTTTCTTTATTCCCCAGTTTCTTCATTTATAAAGTAGGTATAGCAAAGCCTGCCTTACTATCTCCTTGAATATTTGGTAAGTGTCCAAAGGAGAAAACACATGAGGAAAGTGCATTATGAAAGATAAAGCATTATGACAATAGAAAATACTGGAGGGAAATTGAAAATTAACTATAATTATAAGTAGTAACATGCTGATATTGCTTGTTTCATGATATGTGTATTCTTTGTTTCACTAGGAGAATGCCATTCTGCAGTCATTCAAGCAGTGCAAGATTTGGATTTATCTCAAGTTCTTCCTTTGGGTCGTCAGCATGGTATCTTAAATAGCCTTGAAATAGTATTGAAGAACATCAGTCATCTGATCAGTGCATACTTACCCAAGATTTTGCAGATCTTGCTCTGTATGACAGCAACCGTATCACATATCCTTGACCAACGAGAAAAGGTGAGAGTTTCACTATAGATGCTTTCTTCTTAGGCTAGTATAAGTCTGTCTTTCATTTAGGAATTAAGTTGGGGCCTGACTTACTAACACCCTTCCAGATTAAATTCTTCTAATGTAACCCTTTGCAAATCTCTCTTTAAAATAATCTTCCATAATATGAAGATCTGCATTGTTATTGGTGTTTATGTGTTGCAAGTAGAAAGTACAGATTGGATCAAGTGTACACTGGGAAAGGAGATGGAGTAGTAGAGAGTGTTGGTTAAATCTGTGTTGTTTTATGCTTCTTGGAAGCCCAAGTCAAGCTAACGTTTCTTAGATTTTAATTCCAAGAGCCTAGGGATATAGGACATCTTTCAACTCTTTTATCTGGAACAGTTAGAGAATGAGAATGAGTAGATCACTAGTACCATTGCCCTTGTTATTTTGAGACAGATTTACCTGAAGCTCTTTAAAGGGTAAATGGCTTGCCTACCGTGAACACAAAGTGTTGAATAAAGATAAGCAGCAAGATTAGGCAAGACAGGGGAGCTGGCCAACAGTGAAGAGGCTTCATAAAGTGGTACTCAGGAAATAATTCTTGAATTGTCTCAAAACAGTATTTTTATTTTCTGTTGAAACAACGTGTGTGGACATAAGTATACTCTTGGAAGTTTAGGGGAATTTAACATCTTTATGGACTGAAGGCTTCTTAGAGAAAGTGGAGCTTGAAGTAAAGACTTGGGCTCTTGATTGTTGCCTGTGAGTCTCAATTAATGACAAATAAGCACATTTTCAATTTGGAAAAATTCATTTCATTTGATTTATGGAGCTGGTCAGTGAACTGCCTCTCAAATGTGGTCATTCTACGTGAAAATTGCCAGCCAAACCTTCATGCCCCTGTTTTTGGCATTTGCATAGATATAAATCTGCTTTGGTAATGAAATAATGCTCTCTGATCACCAAGATCCAGAGATTTAGAACACACCCTCCATTTTGGTAGGCACTGTATTCTTTTCTTCATTCTTTCCTTCAACAAATATGAATTGAGTTCCCATTATGTGTCAGGCACTATACTAGACTCGGAGGATTCAGCAGTAACCAAACCGAACAAAAATTCTTGTCTGTTTATTTATTCAACAACGATTATTGAGCACATGCTATGTGCCAGACGTCGATCTAGGTGGAGAACGAGACATTTAAGGACACAGTATCATGGGGAGAAAAATAAGAAATGAATACACAAGTGAGTGGAAGATGACAGTAGGTTTTGAGAGGAAATTAAATTGAGGGGACACCTCTGCAGAGCTCTTAACACATTTCTGTAACTCTTGACTTCAGACTCCCATGTCCATCTCCTCATCTTAGAGAGGTTGATGGGCTCTCCTAAGCTCTTCCTTCCTGCACTGAACTCTCTAGGCAGTAGGTTGGGGAAATGTGTGGCTCACCTCATTTGTTTCCCCTCTTTTGGGGATCACTGTCCTCTAGAGCTCTGAAAAAGGACATGAGGTCGGCATCCTCCTCTCATCCACTCCAGCCTCACACAGGAGAGAGGGAATCACCAGCAGCCCACGCCGGACATGCCACCACCCTCCAGCCTTTTTACCAACTCTGACACCACCTATCCCTCCTGTGGCACTCACTACTTCTCTGCTGAGTTTGGTAACTTATTGCAATGGCCACGCAGAACTCACAGACAATACTCACAATTACAGGGTTTATTAGGGAAGTAGCTGGTTACCATTCATGTTCAGGAAAGCGCTCAAGATCCAATTCTTCAAGCAGCATAGTCTTCCCTCAGCCATGCCCTCAGGCACACCTCTCTGCCTCTTCCCCTCTCCGGCTGGCCTCTGCCCTGGTGCACCTAGGTTCACCCCACTCCACCAGCAAGGCTTCTGCCCAAAGGCACTCACCTTTCTCACTCAGTGTGCCAACAAGCCCCCCGCTCTGTCTTGTGCTTCTTCTTGGTTTTGCTGCTGCTGCCTCAGCTGGTCATCTCTGCCTGTTATCTCTGCTGTCTCCTTGCCAGAGAGGTTCAGCAGAGGGATCTCGGGTCCAGGAATGTGCTCCACTCCACCTCTGGCTCTTCTCTCTTGATGGCAGTGAGATTCCCCCCGTCTGCCTGTAGGAGGGCTCATTTTAAGTCTAGCAGAATGACAAAACTAACCAATCCCCACATAAATGTTCTATACACCTTATTTCCATGGTCCCCCCTCCACAAGAGCACCATGTACCTTATTTTCTTGGCTAGGAGCTCTGGTAGCCTAGTGCGTAAGGCACTTGACTGTTAACCAGAAGGCTGGTGGTTCAAGCCCACCAGCCACTCCTCGGAAGGAAGGTTGGGCAATCTACTTCCGTAGTGATACTGCCTCGGAAACCCAAGGAGGGGTCGCTGTGAGTCGGGTCCAACTCGACGGCATATATCAACAACAGTAGCTATCCAGTCCCCTTGATGGGCCACAAAGTACCACACATTTGCATATTTCCACCCAGTAACCTGGTGGGAGTCACAAAGACCATGGCTGGGAGAGCCATGCCAAGTATTGCACTATGCCACAAGCCCCATCTACAGTCTGAAAATGATTCGTTTTGTAGTTGCTTAGGGATAAATCTGATCTTTGTTACTCCATCTTGACTGAAAACAGAAAAACTGCCATAAGGAAGCAGGCACAAGAGTCCTGAGACTAACACAAGGCTGGGAATAGTTCACGTTTGCAACAGCCAGCGTAGAAACCTGGTAATGTGTGGGGCATCAGGGGCAGTACACCAAAGGGTGTTGCATGGTAAACCAGAAAAAGGAAGAAGCAGTTGCCATTGAGTTGATTCTCACGCTTGTTGGGCCCACTGGTGTCAGGGTAGGACTGTGTGCTCCACGGGGTTTTCAGGGGCTGGTTTTTTGGAGATGGAGTTCCAGGCCTTTCTTCTGAGGCACTCTTGGGTGGACTCAAACTTCCAACCTTTGGGTTATTAGCTGAGCACAGTATCCATTTGTACCACTCAGAGACTCTGTTACCTCAGTAGTGGAGCCAGATTTGCCCTAGAATAAATGCTGCTCTGGCGCTACCTAACAAAGCTGAAAAAGATCAAATTTTTCCAAGTAAATTAACTATGTCCCAGAACAAAGTTTAAAAACTTTTAAATGGTTTAAATAGACAACATGAAGTTAACAGTATCTGACTTCCACTCAAATATTACCAAGCATGCAAAGGAGAAAAATTTGACCCATAATAAGGAGGAAAATCAACTAATAGAAGCAGACCCAGAAATAGCACAGATGATTGAATTGAACAAGGACATTTAAAAAGATATTATAAATAAAGGAGCTCTGGTAGCTTAACGTCTAAGGCACTTGACTGCTAACCAGAAGTCTGGCAGTTCAAACCCACCAGCCACTCCTCAGAAGAAAGGTTGGGCAATCTACTTCTGTAGTGATACTGCCTCGGAAACCCAAGGAGGGGTCACTATGAGTTGGGTCCAACTCGACAGCACATAACAACAACAACATTATAAATAAACTCTCTGTTCTAAGAAAGTAGAAGAAAGCATGAGCATATTAAGGGGAGACACAGAAGATATGAAATAGTCAAAATAAAATGAGATAACGTGGTGGTGGCCAGGATAGAGACCAATAGATGCAGCTTTTACTAGGTGGTCAGAGTCCTCTCCAAGGAGGTGATATTTGAGCTTACATCTGCCCTCTGAATTGTTGGTTAACCTGGAAGTTACTCAGTAATGCAACCTTACTCCCAGGTCAATGATCAGTAACTCAAAAGAATCATTTATGTAATTTCACAGTTCATTAGTTAGTGCGGTGTTAAGCTTGTTGACAGATAGAAGCTTTTTTTATTATTGTTAAATTCTTGAGTTCAAGGAATTCCTTGAGGTGCTGTCATGAATTATTGCATATTAGTATTTCTTAAGTGAGTTAAAGTTCTACGTTTATTTGTTTCAGTGAAGTTATACATTTACATTTTCTTTCTCATATCTTTCAGGGCATTGACTGACACTGAGATATGTATGATGAAGGTTATTGCTGGTTTTTGTTATTGGGGTTTTTTTTTTTTGGTACATTTAGCAAGAGGAAGGAGTGCTGGTTACACAGTTGTTAAAGTGCTCAACTGCTAATCAAAAGGTTGGCAATTTGAACCCATCAGTTACTGCTCCATGGGAGAAAAGTGGGGGTATCTGCTTCTGTAAAAATGACAACTTTGGAAACCCTATAGTCTGTCCTGTAGGGACTCTCTCTGAGATGGAATTGACTCGATGGCAGTGATTTGGTTTTTTGGGGTTTTGAGCAACAGGTACATTTGGTACATTTCCAAGAAGTAACTCCTCCTAAGAATTTAAATCTTCTGCAGTTGCCCATTTTCAGAGGTTTTCTCCAGTTTATTCAACAATTTATAAACTGGGAAGCTGGCACTGTGAATACAAAAATGAATAAAATGTGTAGATCCTCCCGGAACTGAGAATGGGTTGGTAGGAGTGGGGACAGACTGGGGAGCGATCTTATTTGATGTCATGTGTGGTGACACTAGTTCATTTGCTTGCAGGGCTCTTGACACCATGTTTCTACATAGGATTAATGCTCTTTATCTTTCACCAATGGTGACAAAGCTGATAATGAAATGTTGCCAGTGGAATCGAAACAGAACAGAATGCTTGCAACTGTGTCACCTCCTAATGCTCGCCTGCCATTTCTTCCATCCCTGCATCTTGTATAATTAGTTAATTAGCTAAAATGGGGATGGTACAAATGTGATGAGGATGTAAGATAGCGTAATACGTCAGATGGCCACAGAGAATTGGTGGCATCCTTGTTCCTGTTTGTTTGAATTAAAAATGTTCTGTTTCAGATGCTAGTGCCGCTTTGTGTCAGCATGTCAGATGTTCATGGCAGGTGACTTCCGCTGAAATCATACTAGTTTTCTTCATGGCCTCTTGGCCGTGAGACTTGTTTTTCTCTGTATTAGTGTGTTTGTGTTGTCTTCATAAATTTCAAGGTGGTTTTTAGATTTTAATTTATTTAATAAAGGTCATATGTAAAACTTTAAAAAATCCATGAAAGGTCATCTGTAGGATCATGTGAAAATAAGTAGCTAAGTATATTAATCAAGGGGGAAAACTAAGGGTGAATCTTACCTCCTTTTGTTGGTCTTCACAACATTCTGTGCTTATGAGAAATCTCTCTTGGCCTTTATTCTCCCCTCTGCCTGTCCAACAACTTCATCCGTTAAGATTGTGTGGCAATTCTGCCTCTTCCCTGAAGCTTTGTCCTCTCAAGTTTACAGTAACCCCTCAATATCAACTAGCTTTAGCACTTTCAGTCTGTCACATAATTTAATAAATTTTCCTTCAGTTAGATTTTAAGTTGAGGTCAGGACCATGGCATTGAACCCACTGGTGGGGGCTCAATAAATTATTCTACTCTGAGCCTGAATATATTGACAGTTTATTTGTGATTTCATAACTCCTATGGAAGGAGAGGCCAGTGCAGTGGCAGTAACTCTTATTTTTAAGAGCAAAAAAAGTGTGCTGCTATTTCAGACATCTTTTCTGTGCATGAGCAGACACACACACAGACACACACACACTTCTTTTTTGCTTTTCCAAAATTGAACTGCGGGCAGTCCCCGCATTAGAGTTCCTAAGTCTGTTTAAGTCACATTTGTACTTAAGTTAAAACAGTTAGGTACCATTCATATCTAACTTCAGTCAAATGATTGTCTTAGTATATCACATATGGTGTATCTTTCTATGCATAAAAAACATTAAAGAAACACTTCCAGACACTCTAAAAACATCTTTAACATAATAATACAGTAATCGTAATAATGCTATTATAATAAAGTAGCTCCTGCTTTGTCCCTCAGATTTTTAGCACAGTAACATTTACAGGCATTAGTTTGTAGCCACAGGTTGTACATAAGCAGACGTTGGTAACCCAAGGACTGCCAGTGTATACATTCAGGTCTTCCCATGCCTTGATTAAGTGCCTCTGTTCTTTAAGGAGCTGTGGTGACACAGCGGTTAAAGCATTCAACCAAAAGGTTAGCAGTTCAAAACCACCAGCTGCTTTTGGAGAGAAGGATGTGGCAGTCTGCTTCTATAAAGATTTATAGCCTTAGAAACCCTGTGGGACGGTCCTACTCTGTCCTATAGGGTCCCTATGACTTGGAATCGACCCAGTGGCAGTGGATTTGGTTTGGTTTTATTCTTTATCTCTTAGTTAGAATTGACTCAATGGAAGTGGTTTGGATTTTGGTTTATTCTTTAACTGCACAAACTATTCTTCTGTATGGAAAGGCCATAAATTGTTTAGTCTCCTGGACTAATTTTAACAAGAGTAGTTTAAAACTCCTCATTAACAAAAAAAAAAGGTTAAAAAAAAAGTATATAAGTATAAAGACAGAAATAAAAATGAGTTTCATTTGAAATGAAGTTTGTGTGTGTCCCACCACCACTACCAATCTAAGGCATTATGATGACAAAAAGTTGTATTGGTTAGAATGTTCTTTTTGTGGAAAGAAATCAAATTTTGTCTGAGACAATTATGTGAGTATAAAAGTAAAACAACATGGAATACAAAACGGCTGCTGCATCTGTGAGTCCTTTTCCTAAGAACGCTCTTGTGATAGGACATTCATAATAGAGCATGTCTCACCATTTGGTTTTCCCCCCAAGTCTCCTCTCTCCCTTCTTGCTTAAGGGGAACTCTGACTTGCTCAATCAGAGTTCCCTAGAGACTCAGCCAACATCAAGGGATTTAATAACAGAATTTCCAGTCTGATTCTTAGGCAGCTGAGCAAGAGTGCCTCCTGGAGGAGTAGGGATAAAAATGATTGTTGTTGTTGTTTTTAAATATAAGATTTTTGTTTTATAGATTCAACTGAAATTTATTAACCCACTGAAAAATTTAAGACGTCTTGGAATCAAAATGGTGACTGATATCTTTTTGGATTGGGAGTCATATCAGTTCAGAACAGAAGAAATTGATGCCGTGTTTCATGGTGCAGTTTGGCCCCAGGTAAACCCTGAATTCTCCGTTCTGCTCAGGCACCTTCTCCTTCCTTTGCTATTGCTTCTCCGCCAACTAAGTCTGCCGCCCCAACACAAACATTTGTCCTGGTCTTTTCCTTTATATCAAGCCTCTCTCTGTTTCCAGAAGTTGTGGAACATCTGCCTTTACTTCTGTTGATGTTGTTGGGTGCCGTGGAGTCAATTTCAACTCATGGTGACCTCAGGTGACAGTGTGGAACTGCCTGTAGGGTTCTCTAGGCTGTCATTTTCATGGGAACAGATCCCCTGGTCTTTTTCCTGTGCGACTACTGGATGGGTTCAAACTGCCTACCTTTTGGCTAGCAGCCGAGTGCTTAACTGTTGTGCCACCAGGACTCCTTTCTTTGCCTCTACTACTAGTTACTGCAGTACCTTGGCATTTACACTTGAGGCTAATTGGGATGATTTTGTTTCAAGCAAATGAGGCAACTTTTGTTGTACTTCACATAACATGCCTCTGATTCTTGACAACCAGATACCTTGGTTGGGTCTCTTGTTGGGTCTCTCTGCTTGTAACTACTGTATTGATAACTAGTACAGTTAAAGCCAGGAGACTGTAGGAGAGACTTGATTTTAGGAAAGATTATCTCTGGCTGTTTAAGCTCTCAGTCATTTCTGACCATTTGACGTCTAAACCATCCAGTTCTTCTGTTAATTCCTTTCCAGTGTATAGCACGTCCACATGCCATCTTTGCCATTTTTCCTGTGTGAGCGTTATCTCGAATTCTTTAGTTTTTCTTCTGTGTCTTTCACATGTTAATCTCCGTCCTTTGATTATTTGTCCTTTGCCTTTAGCATTTTTTCCTGCTATAATCCTGTATGTGTTTTTGTTTTTATTTTGTCTCCTAGATCAGCAGGCTTGGATCTGAGAGTCAGTATTCTCCTACTCCACTGCTGAAGCTAATTAGTGTATGGAGCAGAAATGCAAGGTATAACACTTTTTTCCCCTCCCCCTTTAAAAAGGACAGTGTTTTAAATTAATCTAGTTTAATCTGTTGTTTTGGGTACTGTCAAGTAGTTTTCAGCTCACAGCAACCCCATATGACGGTGTGGAACTGCTCCTCCATAGGGTTTCTAGGCTGTAATCTTTACAGGAGCAAATCACCAGGTCTTTCTTCCATGGAGCCACTGGGTGGGTTTGAACTACTGACCTTTAGGTTAGTAGCTGAGTG